ATTAATATTGTTTTTGTCTTATTTTTTTTTAATATTCTTGTTTGATATTATTTTTTATAAATAATAAATTTGGGTTTTTTAATTTTTTTATTAAATTATTTTAATTTCATGATTTAAAATATAAATTTATTAAATTAATCTGAATTATTTTTAATATATACGCTACTTGTTTATCGTGCTGGTTTGGATTTGCTCACACTAGATTTTTTTAGCTTGTTTATTTAGCTGGTAAGGATTATAACTTGATTGTTAGATTTATTATAAAAAAAAAAACACACTTACCGTACCTAGATATTTCCGGGAATCGGCCAATGACGGGTACTGGTCTAGTTGCCAAACTAGGACGAAAAGAAGCTGTACTGACACGGTATGATCTTCATTAAGATCGCAACGAGATTTTCTCCTCTTGTCTCAGTATATGCTTCTTCTCCCTTCCTCTCTCTTCTCGAACGCCACCATCCCTGTTTTATTATCCCGAGGCTCTGCTTGTTACTGTAACGTGGCACTGTGTGATTTAGACATGTTTTGCTATAATTATAAATTTAAAAATATTTAATTAATCATGCAGCACTATAATTTTACATAAACTATACTTAAACTCTCTTCTTGAATAATTAACACGCATTATAATTTTAAATAAATCAAATTAATTCTTTTTTATAAAATCTTAGCAATGAAAAAATAATAATTTCTAATTTATATCTAGCTTTTAATCTATAGTGCAAAAAATCCCATTAGGTCATGCATGCGTTTACCTAATGGGAGTTTTTGCACTTTTATAGTGCAAAAATTATACTTAAAAAGAATTATAGCAATATTTCTAATGGGAGCTTTTAATTTATCATTGAAACAATATTTTTATGTAAAATTATAATGCTGCATGATTAATCAAGTTATAATCCTTACCAGCTAAATAAACAAGCTTGATTAGAAAAAATAACAATAACAAACTGGAACATATATATATATTGAGGGTATTTGAAAGTCTAATAATTGCTTTTTAATATAGTTTTTATATATAAATAAATTAAAATAATATATATTTTTTATTTTTTAAATTTATTTTTAATATTGATATATTCAAATAATAAAAATATATAAAAAATAATTTCAAATATTTTTTTTAAATACCATACGCAGTTCCAAAGAGTCCTTTAGTGTCCGTTTGAAATTATATTTTTAATTATGTTTAGATATATTTTAAAAATATATTTATTTTTGAAAAAAATATTAAATTTATATATTTTTTTAATTTTTTTAGTAATTTTTATATATTAATGTAAAAAAGTATACTAAAATTATTTTAGTATATTTACATAAAAAAACATTTTTAAAAATATACTAAGATATCAAACACGCACCTAGCTGGACAACCCTTTATAGATAGCGAGGCAAACATATCGGGAGTCGTAGGAGTAAAAGTCAGGAACACACATGCAAAGCTTCAAAGCAACAGGTTAGTACACAGCTATTCCTCACCCTGAAATGTACTGCCACTCTTCCTTCCTTCTTCGGTTCTCACTTTCTTCCGCTCTCCTTCATTTCAGTTCTTGGTTTCTGTTGCCTACTGGGTTTTTAAGGAATGATTTGTGCAGTAAAAGATGATCATATTCATACCTATGTCTATTTATTCGTTTGTTGTTTTGTTTCTCTTTTCGTTTGTTTTTATATCGAGTAGAAAAAAAAACAGAGGAGAAGATATTAGTAGCAGGAATCAGGCGCGTCTCGCGGATCTTGGAAAGCTTCACCAACCAGTTCCTGTTTCTCCTCACGACGATGCTGTTGATTTAAGCTCAAGTATCCATCATCTCTTCTTTCTTTCTCTTGAAGCCTTGCCGTATAATAAAAAATGTTTACTTTTTTGTGTATAGGGAATTCAGCTTCTCTAACCACTAGTGTTTTTTTTTTTAAATAAAAACCCTGGAGGCTCCAAGTTCTGTCTAAAATCAGGCAATGTCACCGATGTGTCCCGTTAACTTATCTTATGCAACTGCCTTGAACACGGTAAACTGCACTTCCATCATCCTCACCTACCTCTTTCTTTTTTTTAATTAATGTGGGTTTCCATGTCAGCCTGGACACGGCTAATCCTACGGCCCTCCAAGTATCCTGTAAGTCTAATAAACAAGTAAGGCATCACCAGTGGCGGAGCCAGAGAGGGGCTGGCAGGGGCCCGGAATTTTTTTTACAACCCCTCCCTCAATAATATTAATATATTTAATCTAAATAATAAAACAACTAATATTTTGGCCCCTTTTAATTCTATTTTCTGGTTCCGCCCTTGAGCATTACGGAGATGACAAGCATACCGCGTAGGGAAGGATCTAGAAAAGACGCAAATAAAAGAACCCTCTAGCCCCCTTCCCATTAGAACTCAAATCAAATTTGAATAACGGAGAACGTCCCCCACAACCCTCCTGGTCGCCCACCTCTTTCTTGAACACATGACTTGTTGGTATTTATTGATTAATGCTGCTAATGTATTTTGCTTTTGTTTCTATAATTTGTTATAGAGTATTGGGTCAGCAGAGATAGCGACAACTGGAGCAGGGTGTTTGGACACAGGGCAATACATGTACCAGAAGGGGACTGGGTTTGATTCCTCGTTGGGAAACGGGGAGTAATGAGAATTGGGGAGACTCAGGGATGGCAGATAATAGCCTACAGACTGATACCTCAACAGATGTTGATACCGATGATAAAAACCAGGTGTTTTTGTCGCTTTCTCTGTTAATTTGCTCTGTGTTCTTGTTGTTTTATTTATGCTGTGTACTTTATTTGGTTTCTTACAATGGGAATCTTTTTGTGAGAGGTGGTCTGCTTGGCAATTGAGGAATCGACCAATGTGTACTTGCATTGTATTTTGTGCTAAGATTTTGCTTGGTTTTGTAGAATAATTTGCTTGAATTAGGTCTTGGTGATGGTGACTTTAATTTACACTCTGTTTAACTAACTCATGGTGCTTGAATTTTCCAATTCTATCGAATGTTTTTTCCTTTTGACAAAGGCAGGAACCCATCCCTTCCTCAACCTCTCCCTCTCCACACAAACGGGAAGCAGGCATTGGGGAGTGTTTAACCTGAGCTCTCCTGAATATGAGATCTCAAGTTTTAAAACTGTGCATCATTGATCCACCTATTGTGGTTAATTCTGTTAAACGTTAAAATTGTATACTTGAATGTTCAGTTAATAATTTGGACTTTTCTAGTCGCATTAGTTGGTAAAACTAGGAATTACATCCCGCCTCACTTTTCGATATATATAAGCTCCTGATTGTGGCCTTGTTAAGATTATGTAGCTTCGTGAAGTTCCGCATGGTGCAGTCATGGTTGTGGATTCTATGGATCAATCCAAGGGAAGAACTAGTGACCAAAAGGTTTTTTGACATGATGTCACATTGGTGATTATGTTGCAGTTTAGTTTAATTTTCGATGGTTACGTTTCAAGTGTTTACTCCTTGCAGACCCTTCGAAGGCTGGCTCAGAATCGTGAAGCTGCAAGGAGGGGTCGACTTAGGAAGAAAGTAATGTCTTTGCTAGGTATGTTATATTGTTTCCTCACGCTGATGATTGGGATTCTTAAAATCTCTCTTTTTTTTATTGAATCTTGTTTTTCGAAGTCTTATATTCTTTTATCTTTCAGTTTTGCCGTTGAATTCCCCTACTGTAGGAAATAATGATTGAAACTCATGAATCTACACCAGACGCCCAACAACACCTGTTTAAGAGAAATTTAATTAGAAAGATTGTGCTGTTTCATCCATACCCTTCAAGCTTGAAGGGTACCATGTAAAACTCGCAGAAAAATAATAGAAGCACACCAGTTCATATTCTGTACGAGGTGTCCCTTAATCTATATCTAGTTGTGAACATGGTAAAAAAATTCTATGCTTCTTTTGCCAGGAACAACAGTTCACCCTGAGAATCAGAAACATCTAATTTTGGACCTGAATTAATTGGCATTATCATCGAGCTGACTTGCTATAGGAATTCCGAAGTCTTAAGTTAATGGATAAAACATATTTGGATCTTTCAACAAAAAAAAAACATATTTGGATCATTTATAGGTTTTGGTTTTGGAAACGCATATGCCCAGCAGTTCGAGAATAGTCGACTCAGGCTTACACAGCTAGAGCAAGAGCTTCAACGAGCACGCCAGCAGGTGCAGGAAGTTTTTTTTTTATCCTCTAGTGCAATGTGCTTGGAAGTGTCCTGTTTCTATTTAAGTACATAGGCTAAATTTCTTTCGTTCCTAGTTTTGCAAATTTTATTGCATCTGGATATTGTGGGAATCATAGCCATTCAATGGATGGAAATGGTAAGGGATTTTGGATATACCAAAATGGATTCAGGTCCTAATGTTGAGCACAGCTGAATGTCTCTTCCTCAAATGGTTTTAAATAGATTGTGAAATGGTTTACAAATTAGTTATATGTATGTTAGATTTTGGTGAATGCACGAACCATCTATACTAAGTTGTTTATTCTTGAATACTCTATTGATATTTGAAATAGCTGTATTTCATGCCGCTAGACATTGGTTACGTGAATCTTGCAATTTGGAGTGAGTGTGTTTTTACCTTTTACAAATGAAGAAGTTACTTTATGGACTAAGTGACTTCATTGCTGCAGTAAATGCTTAGATGTGATGCTACCTTAAAAGATGACTTGAGTAGCCCATGCATGTCATATTGTTTTTTGTTTGATCTCTTTGATTGTTGCTGGGTATTTTTTCCCCCTTCCCCATTGTCAAAGGTTCTGCATCATATAGAAGTGTATGGTATTGAGAAGAACATGCAATACTATAGGTCGAGTGGTTGCTGAGTAGATTTATCTTACACGTGTAATTAGGCATGCCTTGTAGCCGTGGATGGACGTAGTGGTCACCTCACGTCGCGACAATAGTGTTGTAAGATAGTTAGTAATCTAATCATGCTCTGCGCTCTGCTGTATAATTGGCACCCAGAAATCCCATTTCTTGGTTATGATCCCGGAGCTGGGGTGATGTTTAGAATTCTTGTGACATCATTGTTAAAATATTTCTATCGATTTGCATACATGTTGTTAAAGCACATCTCTTTTTGTTGGTACTGTTACAGCTGTTGATTCTTTTGCAGGCGTAATATTGTAACCTAAAACCCCCTATCAATAGCATGATCGGGAAGAATCAAGTTTAGCTATCTGCAATAATCCACTGGCTTGTGTGATCGTCTCCTCACGTTATTCACTCTACCTGCAATCCACATAAAATCATTTGTTGAGAAAATCCAATACTTCGAAACAGGTTCGCCTGTTTAGAGAATCATGTGAAGCGCATACCACGCCTGTATCTTCTAGATTTCACAATTTGAGGGATGAATACCCCAGTTCCATTGCCATTAGATCTCCATACGTTCTCAAGCCAAGTTGGTACCAATTCAGTTTTCTGCCTCTCCCACCAGTAGAAGTAGCTTCCTGGCTGCAATGTTGTAGGAAAGCTGTTGGTTAAGCTGTTCGAGTCCTGTTTCCTTTGAATATCAACCAACCTGGAATGGCTTGTAACATACACTTCGTCGTCGTCATCGGCGGTCAAAAGCAAAATCTGCCTCTTAAGCTCCGCATAATAAACATCGCTGTACTCGACACCTTCGAATTCAAGATTAGGGTCTGTTTCCATTTGCCTTTCAGATCGAGTATGACTGCTACAATGAAACTCCATGGAAAGGTTTGAGTTGAAGATTTGGGATGGGATGTTCTGATGGAAAACCTGTGTGGGGTTTATATAAAGGAATCAGTGGAAGTAAGTTCTTAGATTGAGGTCCAAGGTAACAGGTCCACGTTTGAATGAAATGTTTCCAAATGGACTCAAATGGTCCAGGGACACGGAATATCTCCGTTTTGTGTACGTTAATGGATGTCTTGTTCAAGTGGTTCTTGGTTAAGGCTCCGTTAAATTTTTTCTTTTCTTTCCTTTTTGATGAAGATTCTCTATTAAATAACTAATATATGCATTTGCAAAGCCTTTAGCCCGTGTGAATGATTATGACTTCAGGGTTACAATAGGGAATCCAATGAATGTGAATGCTGCTGGAACCTGGGATTTATCATGTATTGGATTCACACGGCCTTTTTTTTTCCCGCTGGCAAAGGGATATATGTGAACTCAATTAGAGGAATCAAAAGGCATGTCGTTGACCATCGCAACTAGTAGTAGTAATAATTTACCAGTCAAATGTTCAGACGGTGATTCCGGTGGGTTTTTTTTTAACTTAAAAAATCTATTTATTTTTGTATTTTAAAAGTGTTGTTTAGTTTTTTTTTCTTTGAATTATTTTTTATTAATTATTTTAAATTATTTTGATGTATAGATATTAAAAATAAAATTTAAAAAATAAAAATATTATTTAAATATATTTCTAAAAAAAAAAGTAAAATTCATTTTTAAAAATAAACAGTAACAAACGGCCTGTAAGATACAAGCCAGCAATTGACGGCAGCCTGTTGATTTTCAATTGTCCAACATGTATATTGTTTTCATTGTGTCAGAAAGTAGTAATACCAGTCTCCCGCATGGAAAATACTTGAAACAAATGGATTTTTTTTTATATAGTAATATTAGCACATTAAATATAAAAATTTATAAAATAACATTACTTTTTAAATAAATTTAATAAAATACTGTAGTTTAATCATGTTGCGTTTTAAAAACGCAACATCATTAAAATGTACTATTTCTAGCTAAATTAATTAATCAATTAGATATAATTACATTAATCAATTCATCGTTTCATATAAAATTATAAAATTCTTTTTTCAATCATATTTTATAATTTAAAATTATTTTTGTTAAATCTATAAATTTAAAAATAAATTCTAATTAATTTTTTTAAAAAATATTATTTATATAATATCTTGAAAGATTAATAAATATATTTATGGAACATAAGATCTACCACAAACCGAAAATTTTGGAAGTTAAAAAAAATAAAATAAATTGACATTAAATAACAATTCACTGTTCATGTAAACAAATAGTGACCGCAATTCAATTTTTTTAGTTTATATTAATTTTATATTCCCGACGTGTTTTTAATTAAAACTCTTAATTTTCTGTTTAGATTTTAAATTCGATGGTCACAAGCAAGCCCATTCCACAAAACAAAAGAAAAGGTAGTGTGTAGAAAGAAGTACCATCACGCATACAAATGGAATTGGAAAGTCTTGATGAAAATAGAAATAATAATTGAAAAATCACAATCCACGCAGGCGGACTTCCTTTAGCCCAACATTAATTAGTATTACAATATTTATTTTTAATCAACAAATTACACTTGGAATGTCTCAAGTGAAAGAAACCAGGAAAGAGGTAAACAAACGGTCCAAACACAAAGATACATTACAGAAACAGGAGGCATCGCCACGGTGCGCCAAAAGGAATATAATAATAAATAGTACAGACCCATAATTCTTCTCATTCCCATAAATCAGTAACTATTGTTGGGCTATTACTGTCCGGGGGTAACAATATGGCTAATTGATAAAATAATCCCTCAAGTATTGGTCAATCTCAATTTAACCCTTACCTTTTGATTTTATGATTAGATCCTTCGACCTATCATGTCAAAACAATTCACCCCTTCTGTTTCGTCTGTTGCTTTGATCTGATGGTTCGAGAGGTCAAAACTAAAAAAAATAAAAGATTAGAGGCTAAGTTGAACTTGACCAATAATTTGAGGATTATTTTACCAATTAGCCTAATATATTTCCTCCGAATAAATATAGCATGGGTCGCAGCCTGCAATATTAGCGATCCATGCCTGGCGCAACAAAGGGGGCTTTAAGTCCCTCTCGGTTCCACTTCTCAACATTAGCCTGCCAACCTTCAAAGTTCAAGAAAACCACCATCAGGAGTTATTATAGATCATTTTAACGATAACAAAGAATCATGCAAAATAGCTCTATCCGTTAATGTTGCATTTTACAGCGTCCCCATATTTTTAATTTCTTAATTTTCGGGCAGTCACACTAGACTCCTCCAGGGTTAAAACCTTAGATCACGATGCGCTCCATTTCTTCTGATGCATTAATTGTATGCCCATGTTAATTTTCGAAGGACGTACTAGGAAAGTTTAAGAAACAAATTTGTAATTCTACGCATTTTAAATTCATTTGTATTAATTTGGATTATATGCCATCTATTTGTTGTTGAAAATCAAGGCTTAAAACTCGGAGAAAAACTATATTAAACCAGGAAAAATAAATCCAATAAAATCATAACACAAATTTAACTGTGAAATTTGATTGGTTGGTTTGACCATCTACAACATATAAAGATAGATAGGTCTTGTCGAAATAGAAAAGGGATAGTTACCTAGAGAGGGATCAGCTCCACGATTTTTGAGCTCTCTATACTCTTGACACAGAGAACATACACAGCAGCAACAATGGACCAACCAATCCGCGCACGGAGCTTCTGGTAATGAAAGGAAACCTCGCAGCTTAGATCGGTAAATACCACCATATAGCCACGCACAGCTAATATGGCTCATGGCATGGTAGATGAGGCCTTGAAGTAGACATGCTGCTCATTCAAACGGAAGGAATGTAAGAATAGCTGTTGTTCTCAACTAGACACATACGACCTGGTACTGTGGAATTGTTAGATTTTGATGCTGGTGATGCTTTAATTTACTTTGAAAAACAAAATCCCGTTTGTTTTTAGGAACATGGATTGTCCCTGCATCAATTTTCATATACCACAACTTTTACGTTATGGCTAAAAATACGCAATTCGCGTTGTGATTAAGGGATTTATCAAAACTTATTTCTTACAGATTGACAGAGATTCAACCCTAATAAGCAAGGAGGGATGACATGGCGGCTTCACCCACCTATCGCCTACTATCAACTCTACTTGAAAAGTAAATCTTAAACTCAAAAAAGTCTTAACCACACTACTCTAGTAGTAGTGGATGTAGATTTGATGAGCCATAAATAAGGTTATGATCTGCAGTGTCACAGGCTGATAATTGGGTTAAGTGGTTATTTTTTAAAATATTTTTTTATTGAAAAGTATATTAATTTTTTTTATTTTTTAAGAATATTTTAATATCAATTTGTTTTATTTTTTAAGAATATTTTAATATCAGCATATTTTAAAATGATTTAAAATTACTAAAATATTTAATTTTAAAAAATAAATTAATATTTTAAAAATACTTTTAAAACATAAAAAAAAAAGCTTTTAACGCCAGAGCATGAAGCACCCACGGTCCAATAAATCTTCCAACGAAAAATAAAATAAAAACTACCAAACATGCATATAGATTGATAAAAATTGAATGAGATAGTAGAGCTCACATGTGTTTCCCCTGTCAAGGATCTCGGCTATCCGTCCAAATGTGATGCATGGACAGAAACAGGTGAGCAAACCTTCAGAAAGAATTCAACAGACGTGTGATTAAAATCAGCAAGAGAAATAACAACAGACATTGTAAATAGAATGCATTTCAAGCGACAAATTAAGTGTTTGTAATGTAGCAGCAGGATATATAATTACAGTTAGAAGGGTCATCAAGACAATTGCATATCCCAGTGGACCATTGCCCTTCAGGAAATTGTGAAGGTGGTTGAACAGCTTTAGGGCATTCAGTCCCTTCTCTCCTTGAAGCCATATTGCCCTTGCTTGGTAGAAATAGCACTGCTGATGTAGGAGATTTGAAGATGGTGGAAGGGTACGGAGGTGTAGCTTCCCATTTATAGGCATGTTCTCTGGCTCTCAATCGCTGACATTTTTGGGAGTCGATTTTGCGTGGAAATTCCTGTGCATAATTAATTAACTTCAGATAGTGGACTAATTATTATTTTTTGTTTTATTCAATCTTTTTGATAAATGTGACCTCACAAATGGTTGAACTGGCCATTTCTTAATTGTGTCATTCTCAAATGTATGGTTTCCTGGTTATTTCTTCCCTGACCAAGGGCAAAAGATCTGGTACGAGTTTTTCAGTGTGTGTGTGTATATATATATATAGCAGAGTAAGTTAAGTTATTTTTATTTTTATTTTTTTATGTATTGATATTAAAATTATTTTTTAATAAATAAATATAAATATTATTTTAATATATTTCTAAATTAAAAATACTTTGAAAAATAATTATTATTATAATACGAAACACCATCTAAATGTAGCTATTTATAAAAATAAAAGAGGAAAGTTACGTGTATATGAGTATAACCTATTAAAAAAGCAGCATACGAAACCTCCTAGGAAGATTCGCAAATTCAAAGTCCTGACATTATCTTAATCAAGGTTAATTAGTAAGAGACGCAATTAGCCGAAAGATGGACAGTGTTTTCATTATAAATTAAACTCATGAGTCATGAGATCAAGACATACGAGCACATACGTTGTCTACCTACCTGACTTTGTTACGGTCAATGACAAAGATTGTGATTATTTAACCTTAAAATTTGTCTCCTTCAATCTAAAGAAGAAAAGAAGTCCCCAACCTATACAGATAATCTTGAAAAGGTCCCCAGCATACCTTTTTTTCTCAAATCAGACCCTACGTATCAATCGATTCTCAATCATACTTGATAGGTTTTTCTTTCTCTCATTTCACTAAAATTCATCCTATCACATGATATGAGAAAACACAAGGACTTTATATGCCTTTACATGGTCTTCTTGCTTATCATGTAATTTAAAATCAAGACCTTACAATATTCAATAGTTTTGAAAGAAGACGAGTAACTATCTCAATTTCATACTACTATTTAATACTTTTGTTGACTAGAATTTATGTAAGGATATCATTGGAAATACATTGATACATTGGCAATCCAATTAAGATTCTGGACTCTTACGAGTTTGTAGAAAATTAAATAACAAGCTAAAAGGTGTGGATAATTTACTGTTTACCATATCTAATATATTATAGATTATAGTAATAATTTATACTGTATTTTTTGTTTATTTTTTATTTTTAAAATTACTCTCCTTTTTCCCCCTAATTTTTCCTCTTTTGTTTGTTTATTTTTTTAAAAAAATTATCTTTGTTGATTTTATTTTTTTAATATTGAGCTGGTTAAAAATTTTATTTTAAATTTTTTTTTCTTTAAAATACTATTACCACAGTATTTTCTCACATGATTTTTTTTATTTTTTTATTTTTTTTATTTTTATTTTTTTAATATTGAGCTGATTGAGAATTTAGTTTTGTAATTTTTTTAAAACATTATTGATTGCTATAATGTTTCTTCACATGATTTTTTTAGTTTTTTGATGATTTTCTATGAATTTTTTTTTTAATATTAAGCTGATTAAAAATTACAGTTATAATATATGAGAAAAACACTATAACTTTCTTTACGAATTACTGTGAATTGCTATAGTGTTTTTTCCTACATGATTTTTTAGTTTCTTTTGTGTTTTTTTTTGTTATATTCTTTAAAATTTTATTTTTTTAATATTAACTTGATTAGAATTTAACTTTGTAATTAAACTTAATCACGTGGGGAAAACATTATAACTTTCCTCGTAAAACACTGTGGATTGCTAGAGTGTCTCTTAACATGGTTTTTTTTCTTATAATTTTTTTAAAATTATCTTTGTCAATTTTATTTTTGTAATATTGAGCTGGTTGACAAATACAATTACAAGTCATTATAAATAAGGCTAAATCATGTGGGGGAGTGTTGTACCTTTCATCACAAAATACTGTGAATTGCTAAAGTGTTTCCAACATGGTTTTTTTATTTTTTTTGTATTTTTTTCTAAAATTGTCTTTGTGGATTTTTTTTTTTAATATTGAACTTATTAAGAATTTAGTTTTGTAATTTTTTCTTTAAAATACTGTGAATTATTGTAGTGTTTTTTCATATGATTTTTTCTAAAATTATCTTTGTCATTTTTTTTTTAATGTTTAGTTAGTTTAGAATTATAATTATAATAAAGTTAAATCGTATAAGAAAAATGTTGTAGCTTTTCTCACAAAATATTATGAATTGCTACAGTATTTGTTTAAATAGTTTTTTTTTATGATTTGTCCTAAAATTATTTTTGTTGATTTTATTAGAGAAAGTACTTTAATTTTCCTTACAAAACATTGTCAATTACTATAATATTTTTTTTTATAGGGTTTTTTCTTTCCAAAATTATTTTTGTTGGTTTTTTTTTTAATATTAAGTTAGTAGAGAATTTAACTTTATAATTTTTTTTTTGTTAACAGAAAAGCTAAATCATATAACGAAAACATTGTATCTTTCTTAACAAAATACCGTGAATTGGTATAAATTATTTTGTTTAGTTTTCAAGTTTTTAATCACCAACACAATTTTTTTCTGTTATGAAATATGAATTCCATCATACTTTTAGTTTTTATTATGTATTTAGTGTTGGTTTATAATTATAACTTTATCAAATATATTTGTTTTATAAACCCACGAGAAACACATGGACATCTAATTATTATATGATTTTTTCTTTCCAAATTTTTTATTAAAATAGGCTCATTAATATATCTAAAGTTAAACCTGCACTCCAAATCATCAATTCTCTTATTCAACCTAAATTTATCCAACATGTGGACCTTGCATGATCTCCAATGTGGATTTGGACTCCTCATTTAAATATTTTTTCTAGACATTCATACAAATCAAATAGTTCATGTATAAAAATTAAATCCCATTCCTAATATTATATTTCTATTAAAAATTCTCAATACTAGGAAAAATTCTTGTGATGGTTTTAAAATCAAACTAACATTTTATATTAAGAAAAAAACTAATTTTTATCCACTAATTGAAGAATATTAAGAGAAAAATGGATGCACATGAATTCTTACAGGCTACTCAAAATAGTACACATTAATTTGATAAGTTCATATCATCAAATCATTTTCTAAGGGAAAGGAAAAAAAACGGTTGCTGACAGTTAATTTTTGAAGAGACACGCTCCTTTCCAATCTTCCTATTTAAAATCAACTGTGTGGCATCCGCTTCCCCTTCCTCACCCTTTGCAACGAAATGTATCCTTCAATTTCCAGTGAGTTCCAAAAGGAGCCATCACATCCAACATCATCTGCACCACCACAGCCACATTTTTTCAATTTTGAAGACGCCGTGGCCACTGGAATCCCAGTCCCTTTAGCGAATCAAAATAATCCTGATCCAAGTCCTCCTCTCCCGCTCAACAGTGCCAGCCATTCTCTTTCTTCAGGGCCTTGGTCCACTAGTCTCTGTGGTTGTTTTAGCGATCTTAATAGCTGTGAGTACTTTTTATGAACACATATATATATAAAGTCATTGTGGATGGACCGTGTTACAGTTTTTAGATGTCACCAAAAGTTTATTTTCAAAGCACTTGTGTGGTGCCATTGCATGGTAATTAAGTTAATAACGTGTAAAAGTAATTAAGAGTGTGTTGTACTTGCTGGTGCTTGTAGATACAATTAGATTCTACTACACCATTGCAATTCGAAGATTCGAAGATTGTTTTCAGTGGATTTTTCAAAATCGCATGAACGCTGGTGCCAAAAATCAGATTCTGAGGATTAAGTGGCCATGTAAATCGAACCTGATGTTATATGTTTATGCATAGGAATCCTCTTCAATGACATAAATGGTGCTATCATGTGTTTTTTTTTTTCTCTTGCAAAAATTAAGTAGTGTCGAGAAATAAGTAAATTTTGAGTATTTAGACTTGCATAATTTCTCGTATTATATGTTCGAAAACCCGATATAATTATATGCTTTTATAAGGAATCGCTCTTCAAATTTAACGTCAACATGTATATATAAAACAGATGCGGTTAAATTAAGATTTCCAAAAGTGCTAGTTGAACATGTATATCTTTTTTTTTATTCTTTTTTTAATTTTTGTGATTGAGGTCGTACTTCAATTTTCCAAATCTTTTTCTACTAGCATGAGTGATTTCTTCTGCTTTCCTCTCTCTCATTGTTGTAGAGATATAATATTCTGGATCTAGCAAGGAAGAAGTATGAGTATTAACAACGGACTATTGTCCTGCAGGTTGCTTAACTTGCTGGTGTCCATGTGTTGCATTTGGACGAATTGCAGAAATTGTTGACAGAGGATCAACTTGTAAGTTCTGAAAATTTAAATGAAATTAATTAATGCTGATTACATTGGCTTTTTTTTTTTTTTTGTAAGAATTGACTGTTTCTTAACTAATTAAGGTGAAATATGCAGCATGTGGGATGAGTGGAACCCTCTATACATTAATACTATGTTTGACTGGGTGCTCTTGTTTGTACTCGTGCTTTTATCGATCTAAGTTGAGAGGGCAGTTTTTCTTGGAGGAAAGCCCATGCACAGATTGTTGTGTCCATTGTTTTTGCGAGGAATGTGCTTTGTGTCAAGAGTATAGAGAGCTCAAGAACCGCGGCTTCGACTTGTCTATTGGTGACCCCCTCCCTCTTTTTTGGAGAAAGAGTGTTGTTTTGTTTTTTTTTTGTATTTTTATCCGGCTCACTACTTCTGTTTCTGATGGAAAAGGATGGCATGGGAACATGGAAAGGCAGAAAAGATTAGCTGCCACTGCTCCTCCAACTGAAGAAAGGATGATGAGATAGATGACTTGAAGGAAGGGGAACCAATGCTCCAATTTTATTTATTTTTTGCTCCCTAAATGGACAAACTTTCTTACGTTTATTCTGCACATTGAGCTACTCGCCTTTGTTACGTGGAAGATCCGTAAATGTATAAGAAAGCCAGCACCACCCCGTAATTAATGCTCAAGTTTTACCCGCAAGTCCATAAAGAAAAAGGTTATGCGAAGAGGGTTACGATATTTGGGCCGTGTTTTCAAACAAAAAAGGTTCATCATGTACAGGCTCCCGCTTATAAAAATATTCCAATGGAGAAATGCAGGTAACTTTATGTGATGCCGTTTTGTCATCAGAGCAAATTGTACCAAGACATCAGCCAATCGTAATCATCCTCTGTTTCGTAAGGGGAGCAAGCTGCATCTTGTTAATCTTTTTGAGCTACCATAACTGATTGCTTTATAAAGATGTCGAGTTGCTGTTAGGATCAAACATACATCCTGATGAAGAGAAAATCACAGCAAGACAAAGAAGAAGGCTTCAACTATGCTTACGTCCAGGATTTATATATATATAAAATTCAAGAATTAATACATTTATGGAAAACTGTCAATCCCATCTCAAACACATCCAAAACCTCTTAAAATTCTAATATTAGATTACAAATCTTACTCGAGAAATAAGACGCTTAATTATTTTTTCAAAAAGAGTAAGCTATACTGACCACATAGTAAGAATTAAACAGTTTTAATTTATGAATATTTTGTAATTCAGTTCATTGACTGAAAATATTTAGGACTCGTTTATAATATTTAATCACATTATCCTAATGTGTCTAGACTCTTTAGCTATACAAAGGACCAAGAAAATATTTTGTATAATATTAAAGGACTACTGGATCTTCTTTTTAACTTGCAGCTCTTCAATAACTACTGTCACCTGAAACAAAACAGCAATTCACTACAGCTTTCCATCGCCTCCTCCATCTTTATTAAGATTCAAGCACTTGTATGAGTAAAAGCCAATTCTCAACCAGGCAAACACCTCATCAAAACCCATGAATTGTTCTTTGACGCTAGAAAAGAAGCAAGATTATGATGAAGGTTGTCATAGCGGTCATACACCCTCTCTGTTCTACTCTTTTTTTTCTCTAGAAGAAGAAGACCTCGATTTATCTCAGAAAGGCAAATATGGTACCCAAAAACATAAAGAAGGTAGGATCGTCATGATCGCCAATATAATACCGAGTTAGGAAGCGATTTAATCACGATCTCATCCGGATGTTTTATGATCTTGCTTCGTAAATAAAACTGTACTATTTGAATCACGCGTTTCCAATAACCTTGCTTATATTATATGTGTGTCTATTTGGAAATACAACATCTTCGAACCACTAGACCCAGGAGGAGCCATTACCGTGTCGATTTGATTTGATTTGATTAGAATTATTTCTCGAACAAGAAATAGTACAATTCGAATTTCCTCCACGCACATCTAGTGAAAAAATTATTCCCATTCATATGCCATGTGCAATAGCATCTATCTGATCATGGCTTCATTTTTATCCTTCTCTCCAACCCGCTGCGGAATACCAAGGAGGAGGGCTGCTCAGCAAGGCTCGGACACATGCCATGTGCAAAAGGATATATGGCTTCCAAATTGCAGGGCTCGCAAGATTTGCTTGCCCAGCAGTATCCATACACTTCTTATCTTTCCCTTCGTCATGTATTCTGTACATGACAAAAGCTGGATATTCTTTCCCAAGAAAAGAGACACAATTCAAGAACCCTTTCACTTATACGCGAATATTCACTTTATTACTCTCGTGAACTCTATTGATGACTTCAATTTGTTACGGTCCATCACTTTATATATCATTTGCTTGCATGCACGCTGCTATAAAATAGAATTTCAGTAAGAATAACTACATTATAGGTATTTTTTATTAATTATCTTTAAAGATATTAATTTATATCAATTTTATTAACAATTAATAGACGTTTATCTAGAGATATTTGTTTCAAAGGTCATTAAAATTTAATGACATTTAAAAATAAATGCTTTCATATCCAATATTGTTAAAAATATACTACAATTAAAAAAATTTAATACCGTTAAAAACATACAGTAATGACAGTTATAAAATCCCATTATTCTTCTTCACACATATCACAACATTTATTTGAGTAATTTTTTAAAAACAAATTAAATCCATCAAAAATTAATTTTGTTGTGATGACATAAGACATAAATAAAAGGGAGTATCAATACTGTAGGAACAGGAACATTATATATTTTGATGCGAAAGCAAGCTTGTTACATTAAGTTTAATGGAAATTAACCACGATCGTAACTTTTCGTTTAGGCGTCGTGCACTATTTCAAGTGTTTCGTAGAAATCTTATGACAATTGATCTTGAAATATCTTTTCAGGAATAATTAAGATAGCAAAATGTTATGATATTATTTAAGAAATTTGAACATGATAACCATGAATTTAAACTTGAATTCAATGAGTTGTAACATGAAATTATATCTGATTGTTCATTGAACTGTGATGTTAATGTAAATGCAAACACCCTATTTCAAATACAATTTAATATAAGATATTTATATAAATACAACCCAAGATTTCAAGGTAAGCAACTCAAAGAAACCAGATCCTCTTTATATATAGATAAATATAAAAAAAATTCTGAAAAATATAACTCATCTCAGGTTCGAGTACTTGGTTGTTCATATAATGGTCACTGGAGGCTTACATCCTCTATCTAGGTGATGGTCAAATGGTAAGGACTTGAGATTAAGGGGTTTGTCTAGTTAGATATTAAATTTATTTTTTAAAGTCAATTCAAATGTCATAAATTTTAGTATTATTAAAGATTTACATAATAATAAATATAGAATTTTAAAGAAATAGCCAGTCGGGTGAGCGCGCATATATATATATATATATATGTCAGTCGGGTGAGCGCGCATATATATACATACATGTATATGTGTGTATATACACACACACATAGGAGAGTTGTGCACCAATTAAGTTGCGTGGAGCCATTGTCCAGTGACTAATGAGTGACGAGTATGCGTGCTAAGTTATGGTCAATATGATGCCCGAACCCGAGGTGTATGCATTGAATGTGAATGTTTAAAAGGACTTCACAAGCAAAGGCCTTTGACCAAACAACAATGGTTATGGGTCCTGAAAGAGATGTTATGAAGAATTAAGTGCATGTTGTTCCATGGCAGTTCTCAGAACAGGGAATTGAAGGGCTGCTGCTGCTAAAAAGTTAAATTTGTCGACAATCGACATGCCCTATCCAAGGCCACACGTGACACGTACTCTTCCTTTCAGTGGGATGAAAAAAATCCAGAATGGTCCACTTTAACTTGTGGGAGAAACTTGTCCCAACAGTTGTATTGAAAAGATGTTATTGGGAGGCAGCCAAAAGTTATGTTGATGAGTTTTATGACTCCACTACATCCAATATGCTTTTGTTTCTCTAAATGTCAAGAATGTCGTGCCACGCTCAAGGGAATATTTCCTAGTGCCAAGTGCTCACCTTCCTTTTGCAAATGTTTTGCATATACCGCGTGTGACCTTCGATTTTTTAGTACATCCAGCACTCTAGCTGAATTGCTCTTCTTCTTTTCAGGCCCACCGAAACCCCTGGTTTAAAATCACATTTTGTTTGATAAATGTATTCCTATGGCAAGGATGAAAAAAAATATATAATTGCTGCCACACCAAGTATATAGTTTAATTGGAACCCAATTACTCTTCCTCTAAAAAAAAAAAAAACAACTCCTGAATCTAAACATTTCTGTATGGGAAAAAAAAAAGTTACATCAATGATGGCCTTCCCATGCCTGGCTAGCATAATTGACGCAAATATCGTTTAGTGAGAGTCAAATATTATCATGGCCTGCCAAATATTGAACTGCAAAACTTTAGAAAAATAAAAAGACATATTGTACAGGTATAATCATGATATTACAATTCTTTAATTAAATTGCTAGTCAAATATTGTAACCCTATATAAAACGGCAGGTTTTTGATGCTTTCATACACACCTAAATCCGAACGACTTATTTAGCCCACTAACGTGCAAGGGCACGACAACAAAACATTATGATTAACGGAACACTACTTTCTGTAATTTAAACTTGAGAGTGAGGAGCTGTAGCCAGGAGGCAGGAGCACAGCCCCCGACCCCAACCCCTACTTGAATCTCGTGAAGACATGTGTCCATTGTTATTGTCCACTTGCCTAGAAACAACAGAATAGGTCAGCCCTTATCATTTTGCCCTCCTATATATAAAACACAGCGCTAGGAAGTGCAAGGGACAGCGCAGTACTAGTGCGTGACCTAAAAACCCTCAAAGATTTTTGCTCTTCATTTTCACTCCTCCCCCTCATGAGAACTAGAAGAATGGCTGCTGCTAAAGTTGGTTCAAATTTAAGTCATAAGATTGGCAAAGACTGTCATCAACATGGGGTTGTAGCCGAGGAAATTGATGGCCTCATCAAAGCGTACAAAGATGGGCGCGTGGAGAGACCGCAGATTGTTCCATGTGTCACAAGTACTTTAGCTCCCGGGCTCGGTGTGACTTCACGGGACACAGTCATTGACAACTTCACAAACATTTGGGCACGTTTTTATGTCCCAATTAAGATCCATGGTAAGCTGCCTTTACTTGTATATTTCCATGGAGGTGGGTTTTGTGTAGGCTCAGCTGCTTGGAGTTGCTACCATGACTTCCTAGCAAGGCTAGCTGCTAAGGCCAATTGCATAATCATGTCAGTTAATTACCGTTTAGCCCCTGAGAATCCTCTCCCAGCAGCCTATGATGATGGAATTAAGGCTCTAATGTGGTTAAAACAACAAGCTCTTTCTGTTTGTACTGATAATTGGTGGACTAGTCAATGGAATTTCTCCGACGTCTTTCTAGCTGGAGATAGTGCTGGTGCCAACATAGCCTTCAACGTCATCACAAGACTCGATTCCTTTAATGCAGGACAAGCTG